TGTAAACAATCTTGAAGAAATCCTCAAATTCCATTTTAAAGTTCTTCTGCAAATAAGTGAATTTACTGCAATAAACTATGATATTTTAACATTATTTACATTTTACTTTTAATGTAAACATTATCTAAATAGCATAAACAGTTTAATGTAAACATTTATTTTTAATGTTAACATGTAACTTAAAGATCATAAACATATTAATGATTAATTCATTACATCAGTTTCTGTACTAAGATTGTTTTACTTTAAAACAAATACCATGTCTGTTCTGTCAAAATATTTTTACAGAGAACTAAGCTCAACCCTGATGTAGGATTATAGTGGGCACACTTTAATCATTACTACAGTACTGATTCAATCCTCAGGACAATACCCAATGCCTCCTGGCAACTGGGGATTGCGTGCAGGTACTCCAAACACAGCCTACAGGAACAGGACCAAAAGGGTTTGATACACATCACCTGCTCTCCTGGGATGCCTGGGATACGCCCAAGAGCTGACTTCAATCAGTTATCAAAACATATGTCAAAATTCAGAAAAAACTACATATAAAAGCCAAATACATAGAAAATTGGGTGAAGTCAACCTGTTAGACTTTTAACTGAAACTGTTGAGATGTTATTTTTATTTCCCCTAGGAATAGTATAGCATTCTTGGGAGAAAAAAAATCAAAACCTGAAAAAATGAAAACCTTAGCATTTTCCACTGAACACACCAAATAGTGAATAAGAAACTCTGCCATGGGACCTTGTAAGAATTGTAACCTTAATGCCACACGCATCCATCATCTGCTGTGAGCAGGTTGCCCTGCAAAACAGGGGTCTAGGTGAGGGAAAGGAACTTACCAGGAGCTGCCCATAATACACACTGAAACAGGTCCTTTGGCCAGGATTCTGTCCCTTAAACTGGATGGAGACATGAGGCAACCAAACCACATCTCCCATGAGGCCCTGTGGCACCATATACAAAACAAAATATTTTTGATCAAAATGCAGAATCTTTTCAGGTTTAGGCCTTTTCCTTTTTGGTCTAAATAAGTATTGAAATTTTCCATGGAAAGCAAATACTTCTCTCAAAATACATACTTTCTCTCTTTTTTTTTTTTTTTTAATTGGAAATAAATTACAAATGATGGGGTTTGATCTACTTGCAAAATATGAAGAAGCATCTCAAATAAAGTTAGAAAAATTGATGTTTAGAAGAAACTTCATTTAAACTTATTAAAACCCTATAGACTGCTGTTGTATGTTATCATATTTCATAAAAATCAGTAGCAAGAGCTTCCAGGACTGCCCAGCTTATTCTTAACCTGTGCAACTCACTGGAGGTGATCCAGCTTTTACAGGGCTGCTCTTACAGTTTCCCAAAGCATGCCATAGCCAAACCAGTGCCCACAATGGACTAAGTTGGGGGAACAGGATGCAGATATGACAAGCCAAGGCTTCTCCATGGTAAAGTCTTATCCCCGCTGTCCCATGGCATAATACATCTGCCCAGGTCTGCTGGCAGCATCCTTCCTACATGAATCTTGTGCTGCAGTTCTTCTCAGGTGATTGTAGCTTCTGCAGATAAGTACAAACTATCAACACCGACATGGTAGAATTACCTTCCTTGCTGCAAAGAGGATGATTTCCAGCCTGGGTTAAAAAGAATGTGGGGTGAGCCAGGGTCCCTAGGTGGGTGACCTAGCCCAGACTTCAATTACCTAGACAGCCAGCTGGTAAACACACTACTACTACAAGCCCGGATCTAAAGCACAATGTTTAAAAATCTGCCAGTGACTCGCCAGGGAAAAGAGATCATGCACAGAATTCCCTAATGGACATATCTATTCAGCCAAGGGGGAGAGGACAGGCAGTGTGCAGCTGGGGTGGGGACACTGCAGACAATTTCTGCCATGTCACAGAGGCAAATTCACAATGCCAGAAAACATCACCGAGGGACTATCACTCTGCAGTTTCCCACACCGTTTCCTCAGGATTTTTGCACCAGGCTGTAAAGTCATGGGATTTAGAGCAATGAGAAATTCAAGTTCTTTCTGAAATGGCTTTGTAATAATGAGCATTGTCTTGGAAAACTGTAATCATGTCTCGCATATTCCTGAGAAAATGCCTTCATTGAGAAGGGATGCATTTCAGGGAAATACCATTATTGTTTCAGGTTGCCCCTTTGTGTGTTCAATAAATCTTCAAAGTGATTGTAACTATAATTCATCTGGGCCGTGGGCAGAAGGAGACAGTTCTCCCAAGAGGGGGACAGACTACATGTGTGTGTGGTCCAAGAGAAAGCAGCTTTAATCATGCGCTGAAAGTAATAGGCATTGTACTGTGACTAAATTTACTGTGCTTTCTGGCAGACTCTTTCTGCAGGGAGAAGTGGTGCATTTCAAGCTCTAATCTTTGTTTTGTCTGTAGATTTTCACTCTTTCTATATTAACTCAATACTAAGGGCCTGATCTTCACAAAATGGGGCCCAAAGTCAGCATCTACTTCTGCAAACTCAAGTACCTAGCACATGTGTGTCTGTGTGCAAATCAGAAGTGACTCACAAAAAGCTCTGGACACGTGGCTCTGCAAAGTCCCTTTTTGCTTTCATGTATCTTATAGATTTTACACAACTGTAGTTGTGTTTCTGAGAATAAGATGCTGGCTATTTAGTACAAAGATACATTTTATTCTCATCTCATCTCATTGCCAAAGTGTGGTTAAAGGCCCCAGCTCGGCTTTTCTACAAATGTAATTAACAAAGCTAAAGTCTTTTCAGAACTTTTCAGGTTTGGTCATCCTCTTTGTACAAAATTAAAATAATTAAGGCTAAATCCAAGCATAAAATAAAACCATAAGGCCCTCATTGTCCTCATGAAATGAACAAACATGATGTGTTTTCCTTAGTTTGATTTATACCATCAGCATTTGGAAGCACAGTCATTGTTTAGCAAAACTTGCCAAATGTTTTCTATTTAATTATACCATGCAACCACAAACTTTCAGGAAAAGATTCTTTATTTATTTACTTAAGTCAAAGAGATACAACCAAATAACTTGACATTATTCTCAGAGAAAAAAGTTAATGAATAAGCAGTATTTATAAGCAACGTAAGAAAAAAGTAGTTGGATGGTTAGTTGTTTTTTTTTGTTTTTCTTAATTTATCTCAGAGCAAATAAGAGGGAAATGCTGAAAATGGGACAGAGGGGTTTTTATTTTAATTGCAGTAAGTACAAAAATCAGTAAATACAAAAATCTATAGAAAAATTGGGGGATAACACTGTAGTGAAGCTGTGTGTCATTTTATGCTGCAAAGAGCAAGTAAGGGGTGTGTAACATGCTTCCTCAGTCTTCCTTCTGTCCATTTGTCCTTCTGCCCTGCTCACTGTCTGTTGCAGCCAGTCCATGCTGTCAATATGGAGTTTGGCTTTACTTAGCTCTGAGAAGAAAGTGTCTCATTGTCAAAAGATGTAACGATAGAGAAGTTCAGATTCTTTCAAAGGTAGATTGTACCTTTATAAATAAAAATATCATCTGAAATTGCATTATTTTGAGTCATAAGTATAATCCTTTAGGGCATAAACTGATCAACAACAGGCTTGACAAAGGAATGTCTTCAGGCAGAGTATTATTACCAGTGATGAGTGATAAGTTATGTTATTTTCCATACAGAAGTACTGTCTTGCAGTCAGAATGGACTTTTAATTTATTAGAACAGCATGACAAGGAAGTAAAACCTGTAATGCATTTCCAAGAAAAATGGGCTCGTGTGCATAAGGCATCCACTCGGCACAGACAAGGCAGCAGGCACAGTGCTGGAGTCACTTTTCAGATGGCAGACAGTTTTCAGATTTAAAGCAACATTAAAAAGCCACCTTAAACTGGTCACTAAAGGAGGAAAGCCTTCTGATCAGAAAATTCTTTCCTCCTCCAAAAATATTCCCTCCAAACTCTTTAGCTCATAACCTCATAGCAGGATTATGATGTATCTTCTTTTGCTTTCCATTGCTTTTGTGGTGGGAAAAGCAGCTTGACCCTAGTAATTCTTTCTCTCAGATTTTATTTTTCACAGGTCTTGGGGGCTTTGGTCTGAGCAGCTCCACTCCTGGCCAGCACATTGCCACTTGTCTAACACATCTTGTTAGGGGACTGAGAGTGATTGTCTTACTTTGCAGCTCCTGGCAAGAGGAAAATGGGCTCACAGGCAACCAGAGGCTGCTGAGTGCCCATAACCGCTCTGGAGCAGTTGCAAAACAAAAGAAAACTGGTGTTTTCAAAGCAAAAATAGTGTCCTTCAATACACAGTAGCATGGCTGCCACTCCAGAAGGATGGGCTGCTGGACATTACCAGGGAGAGGGTAGATAATGTCAGTGTCCAATCTTCAGGTGATGAACTGGTGGAAGTGGTGGTGGTGAGAGACCCTCAGCCCCTGGAAGTTCTCCCCACACATAATGGTGACAGCACACAGAGGTGTGGCTTTCAGCAGCAAAGAGGGGACAACGTCCCAACCTGTCAGTGGAGAAGAAAGGGGTGGTAGAGCAGTTTCTGAAGGCACCCCAGGACAAGGGTGAGCTCAAAGCCTGCAGGGACAGAGCTGAAAAGTCCCCCAAAACACAGACTCAAGTGTTCAGCCTTCCCAGATCCTTCTCCTCCATGTGCAATTTCCTGAAATAGGGTGTATCATTCTAAGTGTTTTTAAATGGCTTACACATCCCTCATCGTTATTTTAATTTTAAAATGTTCTGCAGAGCTAATTATTTTTAATGGTTGAAAAAAAAAAAAAAAAAGGTGTGGTAAAATAATATTTTAACTCTAGCAATTTAAATTGAGAACTCCTGTAAAATTACCAAGTCTTTTGAACTGCTGTTCAGAAAGAGATATTCACTTTTATCACACTCACTCCCTTCTTTATATAATATTTAACCCATGAAGCTGTAAAGGTTATACTTTGGAAGGTTTATTCCTCATCCTGCTGTTATGACACACAAATAAGTGACCAAGTAAGCAGGTAAAGCTAAATAAACGAAGCTGGAGAAACACAAGCCAAAGTGAAGTATTGCTTGTTCTTAATCCTGCCTCATTTGGGGCACTTCTTTGTGAGAATCCCAAAGTAGCTGAAGATCCCTTCAAAGAAAAGCTAGTTATAGAAGACTTATCCTTGGCGCTCATGTGATCAGGTAATGTACTTGATTCACACAAACAGGTAATCCACAGGGCTGCACTCTAGACGGTTAAGTGGCTTTAACATAAACTCCTATTGCAGAGGGCTGGAAAGCAGATAAAAGCTTCATTTGTCTTCTGAGCCCTTGCCGAAAATCTGCCCATTATACAGTGCAGATCTATAGGAAGGCTTCTGGTGCCTTTTTGATGTGGGGGATGGCATGCCTTCAGCGAAGAGTCATTGACCGGCGCTCTCCCAGCTCAACTCGACTGTGCCCCACGGCAGGATCAGACCATGGGCAGGGGCTTTGCTCTGTCACCTGGCACCAGCGAGCTGCATTGGCTGCTCAGTCGGCCCAAAGGCATCTCCATGGGAGGATATGTCCCTTGGTTCACAGATAGAGACAGCAACAAAGGTTTGCTTATGTCTCCTATGAAAAATAGTTTTTTTGTGTCAGGATATTTATCATCTGCTCATGTCATCATTCCTGGGTTTTCTGGTGACAGTTGTGGCATGGACAGCGTACAGAGCCTTTTATCTGTGGATGTTAACATTTCTTTGAAGACTAAGCACGAAATATATTACAACAAGTTTACTGATAGAAGAGCTGGAATGACTTCATAAGAGAAGAGGATCACAGAAACAGACACATAACTGTTTGTGGCTCTGCTTAGAAAATAAAGCTATGTTCAAAAGCACAAAACTAAACAAATTTTGCATTCGTTTCAGAGGTCTGAATTTGGGACACAATCCACCCCTCAGTGAGCCAGCAGGAGTCTTCCCATTTAATTCAATGAGCTTTTCATCCAGCCTCTGCTTGGTCTTAAGTTCTTTCTGATTAAACTTCTTTCATTCTTTCTTTTAATGCAGACAGGTTTCAATAAAGTTGGCATGCAGTACCTGTTCATCACACCCTGATACATGAGCTTCTAAAAGCGATGCAGGTACCCAGAGCCACTTCCCTGGGAGCAAGGACAGCTGTTGTTCCCCCCAAGCAGCTGCAGTGTGAAGTGGTGGGATACTGTCAGCCTCTGCATCTCCACTGCTTCCTGCAGCTTCTCATGCTCTTATGGTTTAGGAGAACTTTTATGTCAAAGCTTGAATTGTGGCAAGTCATGTTGATACTTCCTGTTTTCTTTGAATACCAGCTGTTCTGGGATTGAGTAAGTAAACCATCTGATTGACAGAAAACACCGGTTTTGATCCCAGAGTTTTGAGTTTATCTTTTAAGTGATGCGCCACAAACCAATTTGCAACTAACGAATGCCCATGTCATCTAACAAAGCTGAATCTGTCACTGTGATGCTAATATCTAAAAGGGAATACTGGTAGCTCCTGGAAACCAGTAAATGCATGTTAAAAATCCCTGTTCTGGAAATCTCCTTATTTAAAAAAAAAAAAAATGTTTTCTTTCCACTAAGGGAATTCGTTAAGTATGGGGCAATTTGTGCTGCTGCTGATGCCATTAAAGTATTGAAAATGTGTTTCTGAATGACGTTAATTCATTACTTTTCAATTCTGAGCTTCTGGAAGCAAAAGACCACGTGGGCTGCATGCCACTGAGATACGCTACACCAGTTCTGCAGTCTTCAAACCCTTCATGATCTTTTGTGTTTGCTGGTAAGGGCAGCCCACCCAGCATAAAAAGGCATGCAAACGATTTTAACAGACAAGCATTGTTTTGACCAAGGTTTCCAGTGTTAAACTATCCAGAAAGATTTAGACAAATTTTTCCCTGTGGTAAAATGCCTATGTTTGTTTAAAGATGAAGAGAAATTGAAATGCATTATTTATAGCCTAAAATATCCTTAATATTACACACGTGTATTTCACTTAATCATTGTTTTGATAAATGCCCACACTGCTAAACACCTAATGTACAATAGGATGTGGTTCCCTATTAAATTAGCAGATGCTACAGTTTCTGATTGTTAATGATGGACCTGTTTGCCAATAAAAACAACTGATGGATCAGCATGTGTGCTACTGAACCTCAGCAAAAGCTCAAACTAATGAGGGAGAGAAAAAAAAATGCTTCAGGTCACAGTCAGCAGATGGGAACTGGCCAGATGTCTGTCTGGGGCAGGAAAAGTGCAGCATGTATTTAAATACATATCTATGTTTTTATATAGCAGCAACCACTGGGAAGTTCAAAAACTTGGATGAACCAAAGTAATGATTTTGAAGTTTACTTTCACAGTTGGGGTACAAAAATAGGCAAAAAGGTTACATCTCTAAATCTGAAACTTCAGCTATCAGACAGTTCTGAAATGGTCATTACATGCAATTTAAGACACAAGAAGTAAAATGTTGCAAGTCAGATGAAAGCCGCATGAGGTGATTTTGGCAATATAAGATGTGGTCTGCAAGCAGCTTAAAATGAAATTGTGTTTTAATTTTCTCTTATGTTTTTTATTAAGCAAGACATGTTATAAAATGTAACATGTCTAAACATTTTTTGCTGAACTGTGTGACACATGCAAATGAATGGAGAATATTAGCTAAAAAAGATGAAACTGTGCCAAGAACTAAGTTATATGGTTACATATTAAAAGCTAAGTTAGTTAATTTCCGAAACACACAGGCAGTAAATGTACAATTGAAAATGTCAGGATTTTTTTAATCACATGCTACTGCAAAATTACACGTTTCATATATCTCTGAGTAAAATAAATAAAACCTGTTTATTTTTCACTGAAAAACTTGCACTTCTGCCCAGATGCAGTAGCCCAGTCACACTGCCTCTGAGAGATTTATTCATCGGCTAAAAGATATGCAGGTCCTTAAGTGCCTGACTGGACTGGGGCCTATAAGACAAAATTCATTATAAGTAGAAATGCAATTTGTTCATGGATTGAAGCAATTTGAGCATTTCATTTGACTCCTCTATAAATGGAATTTCCCTGTACACAGTTCACAGCAAGCATATTTTTCCACAGGGGTCTGATCCAGACCTCACCGTAGTCAATGACCACCTTTCCACCTGCTTTGTTGGGTTCTGGATCTGTCCCCAGCCTCAAGCATGGTGTGTCTGCCTGCCAGCACCAGCTCTGTGCTTCCCTCTAAGGCAGAGTGTGCTCAGCTAATGAGTGCTTTGCTGTTACTTTGAGGGAGCCATAGCACTCAGGAAGGAAGTTGCATGGGGAAAACCATGTGTTATGTTTTCTGATGTCAACATTAAGCAGGCAATACAGGAATATTCCTTTGGAGAAGTGCCCTAACTTCTTAGGACATTTGGGGTGCAGAGGGGTCCCCACAAAAGCAGGATGGAGCAGGAGACAAATGGGGACATTTTTTGCTAAAACCTCACCTCCTGCTCTTGCACCTGGAAAATAGGCTGAGCTATAACATAATAGTGGTGAGAAAATGCTGATAGCAAGTAAGGACAGTGCTGGAGGGCAAAAGGAAGGAGGAAAATCGGAGATACCTGTCTGCCAATGCCTTCCTTGGCTGGTGCAGACACCACTGGACGCAGTATGATGCAGATACACCCACACGGGGGAAAGAAGATTGTTGTCAGACAAACACTGGTTTCTGTGGCTTTTCTCCTGCCTTCATATCCTCTGTGCCCAGGCAAAATCCTTGTTATTCAAGAGCTACAGCTAAGACAGCTGTAGGACAGGAGCCTGTGTTTTGCCTTTCAAAACATTTCAGGAAAAACCTACCCCATGAATCCTATAGTGTCTGTCATGGTGTGTGTGCTTTGCATCCAGCATGGTTCTGTGTCTAAAACATATGCTGCTCACTCATTAAAACGTCTGAGATAAAGGTAGATGTTATTCAAGCACAAGGGAGTTCCTGTTTGATGGTTTGACTGAATAGCAATAGAAATCTGCACCTGCACAAGTTTCTGCCAAAACTGATCTCACACAACTGTTGATCTTGATTAAATTCATTAGGCTGGAAGAGATGGATTTCTATACATCTTATTGTGCATGTTTTATGGGTTATGCTCCTGCATGGAATATAAGGTGGTTTTTGTTCAAAAGACAGTAGGAAAATCATGCTGAGACCCAGGCCTGCTTTAGAATTCAATGTATTCAGCAAAAACTTTGGCCAGGACTTATTTTGGACTTCAGTAAAACTCTATTATAGGAGTTTCCGTAAGTTTAAAGGAACTCTCTGAGAGTTTGTATATATTATAAATCCTATTCTGTACAGATTTTGCCTGCAGTAGCAAAGTAGCAACATTTTTCAACGATTCTGGCTTAAGTTATAAAGCTCTATCCTGGAGCGATGAAATTAGAAAAATACTTTACAAAACCAGAGCACAGGTCACATATTTGCAATATCTTTCTTTAGTATTAGCCCTCTTTGAAAGAAGTTTTATGTCACAGCTGCACAGCACACATTGACTGGTTGCATCCAAAATATAGAAAATAAATCACGGGTTTGTCTTCACTTTTGATAACATAAGGAAAACCAACAGGCTGATACTTATTCCTCCCTTCTGCCTGTGCTGTGGGGATGTATTTTGTATATGTATATACAGACATACAGAAACATACAAATCTAATTTCTGCCGTTTCACTTTCCTTTGATTTACTGTTGTACAAACAAAAGGCTTGAGACCTGATTATAATCTTACTAAGTTAATCAGTCTGTTTATGTCAGTAATTAATCAATTTTGCCTGTAGAGGCTCACAACCTGCCCCAAGGTACATAATTTACCCTTGCCTTTCACTTTGCATCATCATTTGCATCAGTACAAAGGGAGTGTAGACACATGTGCTTCTGGATTCTCTGTTCACCCTTCACTCATTTTGCACAGAGGTACATGACAAACAAAATCTGTGGTCAGTAGAAACATGAAACTGAAATAATATAGCAGCATAAGGAGTATGCCATTGTCTGATGTGAAAAGGGATAATGGCTTTGCCCATGTCCTGGTGAACAGAATCCCTATCCCACTGAGCAACCCTGCCAGAAGAGGACCAGGCGGTGCTCCTGTCAGCAGATGCATCAAAAAGAAAGGGATTGGGTTACTCCAAAGCACAAGCTCCCCTCTTATCCGTATGGCTCATGCAGCTTTGCACTGCCAGAGATAAAAGTCTAAAGCAGCACATTTTGGGGAGCTCTGTATTGTTGTGACTATGCTGAGGTGCACCTATGGAAACGCACAACAGCTTGTCATGACTCATGTTCTGGCCCATTTTGTACATGTGTGTGCCTAAGCGTGCACGTTTGTGTACACATGGGTGTAGCCTTATAGAGCTAAAAACAAAAAGATGTCATAAAAGTGGAGAAACAGAGCAAATTGCTGAACTTCTAGGCTGGAGCTGCCCTGAACTCAGAGCAAACTGTTTATAAAGGAATCATTTTAATGTGAGGCAACCCTCTCTGAGATAGAACACGGGTATTTTTTAAGAAGAAGCAATGACATGATTCAACACTCCATACCAAGAAAATACCCTGCCTGCTATAACAATACCTTTTAAAGTAGGATTCATATGCCCATTCAAACTGAAATCTGGGCAGAATAGGTCATGTGAAAAGGAATGATATCTGTAGTAAACCTACGTTTCTTTAAAGCATGTGTCATCAGTATTAATCTAAATAGGGTTACTGAGTTATTGGATTTTACAAAATTTAAGAAATTGGTGAATATTTGGTTTAAAAGAATTTTTCCTGCTAACATTTCTATGGCAGACTCAGGAAGAGATCACAAAATGAAACCAGTGTTTTCAATACAAAGTGTGAAAACATTTTAGTCCTGACACATTAAAAGAATCTGAAATACCTCAGGACTAGAAAAAATAAGGTAACCTTTAAAAAAAAATGGGAAAAGTGGTAAAAACATTTTCACACACACTGGCACTGAGGACTTGTGCCTGATGTTAAGAAGAACTTAAAAAATATTTTGGTTTAAGCAAAAAACCTACCAGCCAACCGCTTATTGCTCTGTATGTTGCCTCAGTATGTTGATGAGAACATCAGAGCTGTCCTTTCTTCCTACTGCTGCCTGTCACTGAATAAAAACATCTTTCAGGCTTTTGCATTGACAATTATTATCCAGCTACGCCAAGTCTGTTTTTCTAAGGTAGTATCTGAAGTAATTTCTGAGCTGAATAATTGTACATCCAGATGAAAATTTCTACATTAGAAAATGTCTATGTTCTGATATTCTTAGCTAAAAACGGGTTGAATAACCCTGAGGTGGTGC